GTTGACGGCCGTCCACTGCGGGGTTCATCGGAAACCTCTTCCCGACCATCCTTGAACGCTTTCAACCACCTCGAAACTTGCGAATACGAAAGAGCATTGTCCCCGTAAGCTTGCTTAATCATTTGGTAAGTCTCCGCAAGAGATTTGTTCAATAGTGAACAAAACTTTATCGAGTAACGTTGCTCGAGTGACGATTCCATCGCGTTTCGTGACACACGTACTAAACAGGGATGCACGGGAACAGCGATCCTGGAGCTCCAACTGCTCGGAGCAGACTGGTGCAGGTATCGCTTTAAAGCTGAAAGCCCCCCTACCTAATCCAACCGGCCGGAACGCTGTGCGGCCATTTTTACTACCCGCCCAAAAAAAAATTGCATTACTTTCCGGACATACCCTGTATATATTGAAGAATGCAGTAACCAAGGGAAGATTTCACATTCAGGTGGTGTTGCCATCACCAAGTTTGCTCTTGAAGAACTGAGCCACTTGCTGCGCCCCAGTGACATTGATCTCCTCGTAGCCCTTCATCTCCGTCTTGCACTTCTCCATCCACGACTGGATGTGCTTGTACTCGCTCGGGTCCGCCAATCCCGTTTTCTACAATATATATCATTGCTTCTGCACGATCACAACGTTAAGGAATACACTCTCTCTCATCGTGGGGTAGTCCACCTTTTACCCATGAACGTTATATTTATACAGTAGACTTTCTCCCAGACCCGAAACGCTCAAAGGTGGGGTACACATTTCCTACCAAGGGTTTCCTACCAAGCCCAGCTTATGTACATGTTGCGACGATGACAGAAGGAACTAAGTACACCTTTCACGTAAAGGTTTATTCGCTTTTCATGAGTGCAGCCAACCCTACTTTTCCCACAATGGTGGATTATCTCATTTCCGGAGCAGCAGTTCAATATGTTAAGTAAAGACATGTCCCTACTTATAAATGCTAGGAAGATGGACACGGAATTGGAAGATATTGCTCATGACTGCTCTCTTCGCCCATACGCTGACAGCATCTCAGACATCCGCGAATTCACCCTAAAAGCCTCCAACTGGCTTTATCACCTCGACATCAATATATAACGTTGCTAGTCACTCCGCCATTTAAAAAAATAAGAGCGCTAGGGACGTTTCTTAAAGAAAGGAAGTCTCTGGATTGGGCTATCAAATGGCGTTCGGAGAACAGAGGGTCAATCGTCAAGATACCTCGAAAGAAACGGCAACCGCGACGAAGGCGTAATCAGCGAGGGTGAGGTGTTTCCCGGCCACGTATCCTCCAGATGTCTCAAGGAACTTGTCAAGCAAGCCCATCACCTCCTTATTTCTCTCCTTTTTCTCCTCGCTTACTGTCTTTGTCAATCCAAAAAACACTGGTCGCTACCGGAAAGAAAAGAAAGAACCGGTCCTTAATGCCGCTTCTCTTTATGAATTCCCGCTCATTTTTTCCAAGAAAGAAGCCTCTCCCTCCCCTCTAAACATAAAAATTGTCTGTTAAGCATAGGGAATGAGCCACCTCTCATACCATGGAGTGCCGCTGTATCATATGAAAGTTAATGTTCTGAAAGTCATGCATGGTCTTGAAGGTAAATCATTTGCTGCATTATTCAACGCTAACTGGAGCATCTCCTCTGCACCACCTCCATAACATGCACATCACTCATTACATCAGAACTGTTTTGGAACCCAAGAGAAGGACTTAATACATCATACGAATCTGCGCTCTACTTTTCACCATTTGCCATGCATATTGGGAAACGAAAAAACGTTCTGGAGATTCCATTGGTGCAGAAGAGATTTTCTTTTCTTTTCCCATTCGAATTGGTAAAGCATATTAACTCACATTTCCCCCTTTATTTTAAGAGTAATAATACCTTACTACGCAATTGAGAAAGGCAGGAAAGAAGGAACCGCAGTCAAAATCCAATCTTTGGTCCACCATTCCACGCGCCTTCAGGTCCAGGGGATACAATCTATCGTCCGTGGCGAACTTATTGTTCAGGTATCGCAGAATAGCTCGGCTGTTCAACAATAACCACACATTTTCTTAATCAGCAACGAAATTACATTTTGGAGAGGTCCAGTGAGATGTCATTGAAGCATTCAGACGATTGCTTTCGGATGATTCAGGCTCACCTTTCGCAGAGGATGTATCCGTCGTCGTCCATCGCTGGGATCGTGCCCTGCGGATTGATCTGTTTCAAAAGGAGAACCCCCATATTTCAGTACTGTTTAAAGAATATGGGGGGGGAAATAAGACAAAAATATCATAAATGCATCTGAAGCAAAGTCTGACGCAAGTATTAGTTTTGCAGTCCGAAAGTTAAGCCAAACTCTTGCAACACGTGTTCGTTCGCATGCTTCATGGAGATAGTTTTCACTTCGAACAAGTATGTAGAAATGAGAACGATTAACAGAGTTCGGTGATTTGGGATTTCCGACTCAATCTCGAGATGCTAGGAATCGAGCCCGAGCATTGGTGGCAGGATCTGTTCCGCCTCCAGGCAACCCACCTGTTTTCTCGGCAATTTATGTCTATGGTCCAGCTAACACAAACGCTGCTCTGTCCCACATCTCGGGGATGCGAGTACAGTTTACATCACGGACTAAAAATCGCTCTTTCCCGTCATGGGCCTCGACAAACCGAAAGCTATCCCGTCGATCACGGAAGGGCCTCCTGCCCGAGTCAAGCATGCACTCTCATCCTCTGCGTAACAAATCGAAAAAGTCTATTGTCCTGGGTGATCGCCTCGTGTCTCGCCTTAGAAGAGTCGATCTTGAATCGAGCAACAAGTTCTTTGCTAGATTTCAAAAGTATACACGAGAAGGGAATGGCGTACCTTGAGGTATTCGGGAGTGCGGGCATCACCCGCCGGGGGATTGATGAGCTTCAAGTTCAGTTTCACGCCCAAATCCTTGGCCAGAAGCATGACACTTCGGCACGGCGGACTCGCCAGCACGTAGTACAGGTCGATCGGCATGATCTCCGTTTCCGTGATTAAGAAAATGGCTGGGTAGGATCAGGAACCAGACCTGCTGCAGAAGGAGAAGCACGTTTAAAAATATACTGCTAGCCTACTCTCGGCGCTTGCGAAGCACCTGTCAGCATGAATAAGCCCTTCTCATAGAAGCCGCTCGAAATTAATTATAATGACAGCAGAGACGCGATGAACTCACAAAAAGGGATCCCTCATACATGCCCATTGCAGAATGAACTTGGGCTAATCCCATGCCCATGCGAAACACTCACAGGTAAGTTTACTCTTCGTTTCATTCGGGTTCCCTGGTAGGGGATGAACCCAAAAAGAAAGAATACTGGGAAGCTTATACTCTCGACCCCTTCCCGCGGTCACCTCATCCTCATCGATCATTTCCAATGTCACACATGGTGGGAATTTCTTTTCGCGTAACGCTGCAAATTGCAAATCAAAATTCGTCAACGCCATGGAAAGATGAAATGAATGGAGTCGCGCTCCGTGCGTGGTATATGGTTCGACGTTTATGCACGAAAGTTTGAAACTAATACATGTTTATGCAAGAAAAAACTCATGAAATGCATTAATTTTTCATGGGGCCCAAGTCAACCACAAGGCAAATACAGGTAAACTTCGATGCGGTAAGAAGAGCCCGCGAAGACTATGTAACTGCGAATCGAATGAAGCCAACATCTTATGGTGTGGAAAAATCAACTATTCAAAGCCATTGACCCAACCAAAAGCATACTGAAGCATCCTTGGCGCGATTCTTACTCCGACTTCACTTTTTCCCTATGTACTACTCACCGTATGCAGGGTGTAACAAAAGTCAGGAATCGTAGGGAAATAACATGGGGATCATTTCCAGCCTATATTGTCTGTAGCTTACTAGCTAATCTAAGTTGATTCTGAAACTCTTGAGTTCCTCTAATCTCAAAGTCTGGTTCAAGTGGCCCAAAATGATACTGGGTGACCAGAATTGACTCAAATTGTCCAATCGATCCAACTTGGGCCTAATTTTCCTATGGTGATATAAGTTTACTAAAATTGAAAAGGAGTGACCAAGTTAGGTCACTTTTGATTGTCATGGGTCACCATGGGTCACCTTGGATATCTATCGGTCAACTCTGGCTACTATTAAATAGCGAAATTCAGGGAAGGTAGGTCGAAATCAATGAGTGATCAATGATCGAAATCAACGTTTTAGACATGGGACTGTCTTTTTTGGGGATACCTACGGATAAAAATAACGAAGAAAAAATATATATATATATACTAAACATTAAGAAGCTAGAAATAAACAATACAATATGGCAAAACCTACCGGACTTACCTTGGCAAGCGAATCACCAATCGACTGTTATCACACTGAGGTGTCATTTCGGTTTCTCACAAAAAAAAGAGCATCCGGCACTGGCAGGACGAGACGGACGAGACCGGAGTCATTACGCTACGTTTGAATTAACAGCAGTTAATTTCATTTTTAATGACGAAATGGTGCACTGGAAGCAACAAAGCAGGAAAATTTTAGTCACCTACAAGGCAACATCTTTCATTTGGTTGGTCTCTTTCCTCCGAAAACTTCCTAGGAGTGGCTACCCAGGAGGGAAGGGGGGGAGGGGGGGGGGGGAATACAAGAATGAAATTCACACCTCCGAAATGCGAGATTCAGTGATCTCCACAACCCCGGGGAGATGGAACTTCAAATTTGCTGGAGCGATTTTATGTTGAGAGAGGTAGAAGTATTCCTAATTTCGTTCCTGTTGATCCAGTCAGAGAGGAATACGAGGCGGTTGAATTTGAGGTTGAGGAAAGTCTTTGAAAAATGGTTTTCACATTACTACATTCATTCTTTGGTTGTGGATTCAAGTTTCTTTAATTTTTTAATTTTTAGGAGATCGTGTCAGCTTATCACAACATGGAGAGCGTCACAAACAAAACCTCAAGGGAATTTATGGACGGACTACACCTACCTCACTTGAACTTCCAGGTAATGCTAATATTATAAGGCAGTGGTCGATAACTGGTGGCCCGTGGGCCAGATCCGGCACGTGAAGGCCCAGCCATCGCTCATTACGGTCTAACAATAGACGTTCGTCTGCACATTCCACATTAGACGTTCATTAAAGTTTTCATTTGAATGACACTTGATAAGTGTTGGTCCACAAACGCGCATTCTGCCATCCACCCCCCATGAAATTCAGTTACTGAACCTCTGAACGTACTCAATATGTGCGACTTTTAACAGCGCATGCCTAAGCAATGCATATCAATCGGCTCCTGGCTTGTCGAAATCGGTTTTCTGATAGTGCTCTTTGCCAAATCAGGGGTGTCGACCCCAAATGGCCGGAGTCTACGTAACTTTTAAAAATCGTCAACTGCTTTTCACAATAGTATGCTTTTTATATTAACTGCATTTTTGTGGAATTTCAGTTCTTGATTAGATCAGTACTGGAGATCATCACAAAGCACACAGCCAGAGCAAATGGAGTCCAGTGAAGCCTCTTCTGACGGGGCTTGTCCGGTGGTCTTTGTTCCAGATTAGTTTAGACTGGTCACGTTATTGTACTTTGAGCTAAATCAGTGCTTGGGCCCCCAAAAGCCCTACCCCATCAACGATATTCCGTCGTACTTCAAGGCCATCGTTCCCTGCTTTGAAAACCATTGGAAGACCTTTGAAGGTAATTTCGCAGAAGTTGGTCGGCATTACGGTATGAGAAACTGCTAGGCCTATGAAAACAATCAGAACATACGAAGAATTTGGGGTTCTGAGAATCTGATTATGCGTAGTCTTATGTCCAACGTAAATCTTAAGCCCAATGTTTGGCCTAACTTCACATCTAGACTCAGAACTCACTTTTTCACTAGAAGCCAATGTCCCTTTCGACAATTTGAATCATTCAGAGTCCTTCCTGTTTCATAACGTGCCTTCTATACTTCACAGGGAAAAAAGCTTCTTCAAGCTTAACATGCGAGCAGTGTGAAGCATGCCTGAGCAGGACGCAGTCATCTTGCTGACCCCTCCTGACACCTAGCGAGCAAATATGCAGCATCTAGATTCCGTTCTAATCCACAGATGACAGAGACTGCATACCATTACGGATAGGTTCCCCGTCATCATTATTCCTTTCGTGTGCCGAAGCAAGGATGGAGCATGGAAAGGCCCAGAGGCCCCCCTTCATCTTATTTCGACCTCCCCTAGAGATATATGGAGGAATCCCAGTATCCAAGCCACAATCATCTGGGACGACAAACCAGCCAATCTTAGGCATAGGTTGGGAGAGACAGGGCCGTCTTAGAAGTTATCCCGCTTCCCCTTCCCCTAGGGAGACCGTAGCTTCTGGATAGTCCATAAAAGCGCGATTTTTTTAGGCCCCCTATATCATTAGAGGACCGTACATTTATGGATTCCCCCTTGGGTAAAACTGCAACTGCCTTTTCGCGCACGGATCTCCTCGGACGACGTTGTAGAAGCTGAAATGTCAACAATATGGAGAGATCTTCTTCTTCAGCTTCAGAGAGCTTCTTCATGCGCTCGTGAAGTTGAGTGACTGCAACCGTATTCTGTCCTAGTCATTCTGAGATTCGTTCTCTAATGTGAGAATATAATACGGGGAATACTAACCTGGAAAGTGGGAGAGGGAGGCAGGGACTACGTGACCGACGCGACCTCCCGGCCCCTGCCTTCCTTTAAAAACCTCTCCAGTGTCTTATCAAGCGGTGATACGGCCGCCACTCGAACTGCTGCCTGACTGGCGGAAATGACAGGATGTGGTTTTTCTACTTCGAAATGATAAATAAAGAATATGGGATGGAAAAAAAGGTCTTATCAAATGGACTTCGTTATTTCCACTTTGGGTCTGCCATGCCTTCATACGAGTGGGGTTCAAGGTCACCAGTGTTCCACGAAGTTGCGCTACACCCGGCTCCGTTAACTTCGGGGGGAGGGGGCAAGGGGTGGGGGCAAAGGGGGGGGGGGGGGGGGGGGGGGGGGGGGGTCCCGCNGCGGGGGGGCAGGGGGGGAGGGGGCAAGGGGGGGGGGGGGGGGGGGGGGGGAATGGTGCGATCTCTTCCGCGTGGGGTCATGAAGGAACCCAGTCCTCTCGGTATCATTCAGGAGCCTCATTCGGACAGGGGTTGGGGTGGACGCGACTTTTTCCGCAGTTCTCGTCAAGAGGTTTCAACAATTTCTATTCTTGATTAAGGCGATCGCTCAGCACTGTCGCCTACTCCATAATTCCCTATTGGAAGTTGTATTTGAAAGATGAGATGTCATTGGATTGCCATCGACAAAGAACACCCACTGCCTTTTATTTTGCCAACGAATGTACGAGTCATTCACAATAAGTCGCATTATGCTGCTGATAATGCGAAGGGAACAGTCATAGTGACATCCTGTAGGAATGCCATTTTCCATTTATTGTGACTGGATTAACTGACGCGAAGAGATTTCTCTCGGGTGCTCTGCTTTGGAGCGAGGAGCCGATTCATGGTGGAGCCTGGCGAAAAGCTCTGAAACCTTGCTCATATCTTGGATAGAAACTATCGTGAAATCTAAAACAGATTTCATGGTCGTTCCCATCACCTCTAAATAGCCTCATACAGCCGTGCAAACTTACTCTCGAAGTTTCAGCTCTCAGTCCGCAAACTCCTCCGAAAAATTTTGAAGGAGCCATTCGAGCCTGTTGGGGAGGCTGAGCCTCGAAACAGCGACCTTTCATCAATTCGTATCAAATCGAGAGTCCAGATTTCCTCTGCAAGATTTTATTCAATGCTCGCTCATAGGGATTCAAACTTTGGTCGTAGCGTCGCCGAGCTTGCTCTGGAAGAACTGAGCCATCTGCTTCGCCCCCTCGGCATTGATCTCCTCGTAGCCTTTCATCTCCTTCTTGCACTTCCCCATCCACGACTGAATGTGCTTGTACTTGCTTGGGTCTCCCAATCCTGTCGCCTGCCGTATGAAGAAAGCATTAAATCATTTTTTGACATCGATCAGAGGCGAATAAGACTCAAATAAATTCAGGTAACTTCTGCGCACAAACGTTAGGGAAACAGAAAAAGAACACTTCATTTCGATTTGTCGATAGTGCGAATTTCCACTCGATTTTCTTTTGCATTCGCGAACGGAAATCTGAGAGTATATTATGATTGCGGGACTCGAATCCACCTCGACGCTCCCAGGTTTCTGACACTTGAGTGCTCCAAAATACCCGGTCCAGTTTGAGATATTGCAAAAAATTTCGAACTTCAATCGAACTTCAGCAATTTTCCGCAAATACTGATTTACTGGCGCTTACAGCTTTTACATTTAGAGACTTTGGGCCGTATATCATAATTTATCATAGCTAGTGGTTACAACCTACTTTAGAAGACATCCAGGAGTTATAGAATGTATTTATGCTACGTACAATAATTGTGACCATATATTCAATATATTGAATTTCCTGTCAAGCATGTCTACATGGTAGTGTACTCTATATGGTCTTTTTTTTATCAGAATAAATTTATCAAGAGGTTATACGCCACTTCATGATTTGTGGGGATGCAAATTCATGCTTGTGCTTATGTGACGGACCTGGCAGTTTTTGTTAAGTGGAAAAAGACTAGAATGCCGTCATAATGATGCTTCGCCCTTCTTCATATCATTGTGGGAAATACTATATATAAAAACGAAAAGTTGAGCCAGGGGATACATTTTGTCCAAGTTTGAATTCATGGAATTTTCATGAATGTAATCTATTTTGAGCAGGTGTGCATATTTTTACCTTCTACCAAGTACAACTACGATAAGGGTGTCAGGAACGAAACGGCAGATTTACTCTACGATCGTGTCAAAAATTGACCAATGGTATTCATTCGACGGGTCAAACGGCGTCAAGTGATTTAAACTCAATCTTGGCGAGAAGCGCTCATTTTCCAGAGCCATCCCGCGACACTCGCGGACGGGACTTCTCGGCAAACCTACCTCGAGCGAAGCGGCAATGACGATGAGGGCGTAGTCGGCGAGGGTGAGGTGCTTCCCGGCCACGTATCCTCCGGACGTCTCGATGAACTTGTCCAGCAGCTCCATCGCTTCCTGGATCTTCTGCTTCTGCTCCTCGCTCACCGTCTTCGTCTTGCCCATGAATACTGGTCGCTAACAAATAATAACTTAATTTCCAACTGTTCCGCAGTCGTTCCAAATGATTGAGGTATTGATGAGAGTTAGCGAGATGAGGATTTTGCTTTGAATAATTTATATTTTTAATTGGAGGAGGACTTAAATGGCATCGGTGGTTCAAAGTTTCACTATGGCGGCGGCGGAGAAGTCAAAAGCAGCATTTTTTCTCAAACAAATATAATCTTATCCTTCAGCAAGAGTTTCTTGATGAAATCGTGTATAGTTACAGTACTTCCCACAATTATATAGCAATTTCTGAAATTTACCCCTAAAGTATACTAAGTATAACCCTTTCATCACTCAATTTCTTCCAGTCTGTTCTCAGTTTAAAATTCCAGCTGGAAACAGCTATAATTTCCAGCTGTAAATTCGGACCCATTCCAACTGGGTAACAGCTGGAAAATAGTCAACTCCAGAGTTCTTCCTAATTGCAATATAACTAACTGAATGAGAATCTTTTCTTTGACTATTTTTGTCGGAGGTCCATCAACAGGAACAGCTGATTTTAAACTGTAAATTTAGCTACATTCCAGCTGTAGGGTTCTTTTTATAAAATTCCAACTGGAAAATTTCCAGCTGGAAACAGCTATTAAAACCATCTGCATTCCAGTTGGAAAATTCCAGCTAAGAAACAACTGGTACCTACTGTTTTCCAGCTCTTTGCCAGCTGGGATTTTAAACTGGGTTATTTTATCTTCTTTTCGCATGAAGCACTCATGCCACTCAATATGCAAATAAACGTTTAATATTAATGCTTCACGGCATTATAATCTTTAGGCTTCTAATTTGTTGGCGCGATTCAGCCCTGTGACCACTCGGACACGTGGCGAGTGAAAAAGATAAGACAACTTTGCACTTCCAGCTTCCACCAACGGCAAATGGCAAAACGGCACAGATCATGCATCTTGCTCTATTCCATTCGTATCTCTAGGAGGCCAACTCGCGACAAGCACGATTTTCTCTATTTTCTCCCAATCTTCCCCTGTCCCCTGAGGCCAATCGACGCTGCGAAGAGTTTGACTACTCGATGCTACGGAGACTCGAGATCCGATCCGGATCCGGGCTTCCCATTTCACCATGCTCCAGAGACCGGAGTTTCCGAGTTCTAATTTCACTACACGGTTAATTTGTGGACAAGAGGTGATTTATCGAAAACGATACAGACGTGAATATCCCCCTCCCACTTCCTCGTTCCACCCTGAGTGGAACGTTCTGAATCGGCATCCACGAGAACGAAACTCCGATCACTACCATCTCAAGTGCAACGGTTTCCAGACGATAATCGCGCGTAAAAAAATTCCCCTCCGTCTCCATGGAATGATCTATAGGGACCAGATCATGAAATGGACCCATCGGTGACATCTAATTTTATGGAAACCACTTCGACCCCTTCCCTGCTACCCCGCAGTTCGTCTATGTGATTCCGGGTTTTTCCTGTTCTTGTCAGCGTAATTTCTTGTCAGTATTTTCCTGCTATCGGTATTCCAGGTTGGCCTAAATCCTAAATAAGCCTTTGTCGCACCTGTGTCAATTTAGTTCTATCGGTATAGTTCCTGTATGCAGTCTGTCGAGGTTATTCCGTATCGGTGTTGTTCGGTGTCGATGCACTCCCTGCCTTATTTACTCTGTGTAGATTTTCCTCCATTTGCCACCATTTGGCGTCGACGGCTCCTGTCGATGCTATTCTCTGTTTCGACAATATTTTAGCGCAAACGCGTTTCGTTTCGAAGTCGATCCTATCAGCCCCATTCCTCTTCTCCGACCGACAATTTTGACCGCAATTTTTCCCTCTAAGAGTCGATATCGCCGTACAACGCTGTCGAGGTAAGCAGGCGAGAACGTGCTGATGTCGAAGTCCAATCTCTGGTCCACCAGCCCGCTCTGCTTCGCGTCCTTGGGATACAGCTTGTCGTGCTTCCCGTGCTTCTTGTGGAGGTAGCGCAGGATGGCCCGGCTGCAAGAGAATCCCCGTTTCCCTAACTTCCTCGTTCGACGGCGGAGGCGAAGGGATCTCGAAGCTCACCTTTCCCAGAGGCAGAATCCTCCGTCGTTCATCGTTGGGATCGTATGCTGCGGATTCATCTGTTCGCAAAACGAGCAGTATCGTATAATTCGGGTATGGTTAAAGCATTTTGATTTGAAATAATGGGGGGGGGGAATGGCTGAGCATGAAATTTCCGTTCGTATGATAAGTTATGTTGCTTTGATGACTACGAAGATGACAACTTCTATTACTTTTGAATTTCAACTTTTGCACTTGCAAGTTCTGACCATTTTCAGATTGAGGACGGAGCCGTACCTTGAGGAACTCCGGAGTGCGGGTAGCTCCAGACATGGGATTGGTGGGCTTCAGGTTGAGTTCCACGCCCAGATCCTTGGCCAGAAGCATCACGCTTCGGCACGGGGGACTCGGCAACACGTAGTACAGGTCGATCGGCATGATCACGGATTCTTCGATTCGAAAATGCTTACGATGCGCACTCGAGAGAAGACCTGCTGAGGGGAAATAAGGAGTGTATTTTAACGTTATGCAGGATATTTCGACTGTCACGAGCTACCTGGTTCGACGTAATTAATTCCGGCCACATATAGCATTATTTAGCAACAATAATTATTTATTGTGGACTTGTACAAGTAACGATAAGAACATATTCGGATAGTTGACGTAACTGTAACATACATAGGCCGAATGTGAACCTGCAGTAGCAGAAAAATAACTTACCATTTGGTTACTGAGCATGTGCTTCGCTGTTAGTCTATTCCGATTGTAATTTTGACCCAGTATATCCCATGCAAGACTGTGATCATGTATATAAATATAACCATCTCTTCGCTGAGGCTTCTTAATAAATTACAATTCCTAACATACCATGCAGAAAAACTAATTGGCACCACGTATCTCTCTTTTGAGATCTGTGGACTTGAGACCCGAGGCTCCAAATTACGGTAACTTTGGGCTTCTTTGAGCGTAGCGTAAGTAAATGTACCTGTAGTACATTTTACTAACTGTAAAATGTATTATGGGCTCATCTAAGCTTCACTATGCTAAAATGGCTTCACGTAACCTATGCTGACACCTCCATTAACATTGGGCAACCTGTCAAAATGGTGTAACGTGTGTGTCTATTTACCAAAATACATCACATATGCACTTGCCAGAAAGTAGGGTGTTTTAACTCCTGCCAAGAAGGTTTCTAAGTTGCGGTCAACTTCAGTCAGGTGGCCGCCTGAGTGAGAATTACATCATTACTGTCTCACAAGGCGATGCATCCGTGAACACGCTTGAATTCATTGGTACGAGGTAGATGGTGCCACCTCTGCAATGGCTCTATGTAGTAATAGGTATCTCAGTCGCACCGCTCGCGTCGAGAACGCAGGAGTGCGAAAGATTGACGTGTCCTCGCGTGCCTCCACTGAACACCATCAAGGAATTTAGGTTTCCAGTATCCTCTTGACTTTATCGCTCTCGAGGAGAGACCGTCAGCATTGGTCTCGACAACGTACTTAGCCGCACCTCCTCGTGCCCACTTAACTCCCTGGTGCGGACATGGTCTTACGTCGCCAAATGCGCATCAGACGATTCAGTTTTAGAAACTTCAGACTTGAGACGGTCTCGGCATGGATGAAGTCACGATGATTTAGAGCCTAGAAGATCGTCTTGCGAGCCGAACATACCCTTCACTTTATGATGAGGTTTTTACGTTAGTTTTTGTTTAGCTTTCCGTTCAAAAGAGCGCTGAGCTTAATACGCTGGGTGAATGAATTGAGCTTTAAAGTAAGTTTCAGGCGACCCTAGTCGTCTTCTATTGTTGTCACGCCTCTTTTAGTAATTTATTTTTGCTTCTCCAGGGTGAGTGCAATTAAATTAAATTGCGTAACGATACCTGTACCTCTATGAATAGGCTTTGGTAGCTGCTATGAAGAGGGGAAAAAGTGCTAGTAATTCCATGTGCTAGAATTGCTTGTTTTTTTTAAAGCAGCTTTGTCGAATATCTATCCCATGTGCATCATCCCATCTGCAAGGCGAACTCGATCATTTGAATCGAGCTCGGTTAAGTCTGTAGCGAAAATCAATAGACTCTACTGAGTAATACCAACTGGCAAAATAGGAACATTGATGAAAATATCGACTCCTGTGTCTGTTCGTTTCTACTGTCTACGTCATGGATTCGAGTGATCTCCTTGGTAAGAAATAAGGAAAACTCTCTGCATCGATAAGTAACAACCACTCAGAAATCAGGAGTCAACGACTCAGATACAAAAGTCAAGAAAGAAAAATATTACCCGTCCCCCACCCCAAGAAGAGCAAGCTTCTCCCCGTCGAACTGGCTCGTGTTTTACGGATGCCACAGCCTATTCAGACGCATGAGATGGGGACAAGTTTAACCAAGTAACGAGTATATATGTGATACCTGGAAGATGTTTGCATTAACGAAGAGGAGCTTACCATAACAACTATAGAATTGGTTCAGCTGAAAACAGCTTTGGGAGTTTAAATATATTCGTTCTTCTTGGACATAGGTAAATATATACTCTTCTTGATGCGTCGTCTCAACTTTTAAGGGCCACGCTATTTCAAAAATTTGCACTTTGCACATCTAAAAGTTTCCTCGAAAACACCAGCAAATTCGTGAACAGAAGTCCGTATTTTCAGTTCGGACAAGGAGGAAGTCGCGAGTGGACTAACCTGGATGGTCGGAGGGAGGGGCGAGGGAGGACTACGTGACGGGGAGGCGCGACCCGGCTTCTTCATGAGGAAGTGTAATCTTATCGGCTGGGCTTCGCTGCTCTCGAGGTTGGACCAGCGCCGCATTTTACGGCCGACCTTGGGTGTCTGATGAATTACTGGTAAATACGCGTAATCTAATCTGGTGGAGACGATGTGTTTTGCAAGAATGGGAGAGGAAGATCTGTTTCGATGAGTGCAGATGCATTCAAGAGCAAATAAATAAAATACCACGGTTCCTGCTTCCAGCTCTTTATTCAGAATTTTGATGATCTCATTTGGGTAGCTCGTCCTTGAACGGGAACTCCGGATGGTTCTGGATCCTGTGAGAAGCAGGAAAAGAGAGAAACGGAGGCAGAGCTTAAAAGAAGTTGAAAATTCCCGAGCAAATTAAAAACATAATGCCAGAATTTGTTTTTTTTTTAGTAGCACAACCAACTCCAAAGTTTGAGGAGCGTTCTGGGAAGTTCTTATGACCAGGGTTTCAAATATCTCCGTATCCGAGAAGGCGTTGTCAAATCATCAGAAGAGATGTAATCATAAAATAGATTCGCACATTAGATACGGGAAAAGGGAAAAAAAGGAGATAAACGAAATTTACTACGGAATTCAGCTCAGATTTCACTGTGCAGACATGCTAAGGGAAATTCGCTAACCTATGAGATTCACTCTTCGTCCGAGTCATCTTTCCGTTTTTCCGAAAGAAATTCAGCAGAATTACATGTGCAGGACACTTTCTCAACATTTTCACTCGACTACAGCCCGTAGCCAGAAAAGACTGGCATGACCTTGACATTTCACCCCCCCCCCCTCCCCCCCATCTTAGTCCTTTCCTAGCCTCACCTTCCGTTCGTTTGCTCTTGATTATATCTCTCTGCGTTCCTACCTAATCCTCGGGGGAGAGGGGGATGGTGATTCAGAGAAATACCCTGTACTATCATGAGCAGGAGTTTGGGTGAGTGGGGGGAGGGGGGAGGGGAGGGAAGCCCCCCAAATCCCCTCTTGGTTTCGCCCCTGAGTGTATCAATAGTTGTAACACAAGCACTTTCAAAAAGCTTCGCGGGGGCAGTCGAGCCTACCCTATACATTTTCAGCAATGCATACTCTGTTGACACTGTGCAGTCAAAGATACCATTTATATGGTGCAATTAGAAATTTCCATTTTTGTTCTTCGATATCAGGAGAATGATGTCATCCTTCACTCTGATATTTCCCAACCATTAGGAAGAAACTCGAGGAGACTAATTGGTTCCATTGAGCCGCTCTCAAATGCAATACTCATCTAATCTGCGACCTTCTGGAGGTCTTTGACACGCTTATAATTTCCACTTATTCAACAAGATAAGAAAATCGTGGAGAGCGTTCGTGATACAACTTGTCACCCAAGCCATATCCCACCTGTCATATCCGGAACCATAAACACCACAGCTTCACAGAAGGGTCCTATGGGCGCCAGAGTATCGGCGCCATGGGATTGACGCTATGGCATCGGCGACATGGTAATCTTGCATCTGCAGGACGACAATACGCGCCTGGAGTTCGTATTGCTGCGTGTGAATTAATTGCTTTCGTAGAAGTTACTTGGAGATGGCAGAGGTTACCATTAAGAGCCCGCTGTTGAGTCGAAATGCGGATAAAGTGATCTCGTCAGTGTGGCTCCATGTTCTGCTGAATTTTCTAAAACTTGATGCGACAAATTTTGAGAGTGCGAGAATGATCCCTCACCCATTGAAAATGTCGTAGAATTTGAAGTTCCTCGCCTCCTTCCCCCTGTCCATAGCATTCAGCGTCTGCATCTCTTCCTCCGTCAGCTCGAAGTTGAACACCTATTCCAAAAATTGAACCCAATCGATCCTGTCGTTTTTGTTCGACGCAGTAGAATCCCACGAAGGCAAACGCACCTGATAGTTGAGTTGAATGCGCGCAGGATTGGTGGATTTGGGGATGACAGCTACTCCCTGCTGGGCCAGGTGTCTCAGAAGCACCTGAGCAGGTGTCACGTGATGCTTCCGGGCGATTTCCTTCACCTTTTCGTTCTCCAGAGGGTTTTCTCCTGATAGATCCCTGTAAAGGCGGGGTCGAACATTCAGGTACAACTTCCACCCTTTCTGCTTGCACTGGCTCGATACGCTGCGTTTGCGAGTTCTTACTTCAGGCCGGACATCATCTTGAAGGGCTCGATTCGTCCAGGTGAACCCAGGGGTGCGTATGCACAAATCGTGATTCCATGCTTCGCACAGAATTCTCTCAATGGCTTTTGTTGAAAATACAGATATACCTCCACCTACGGTGCGGTATTGATCATTTCGACGTGCAATAAAAATTTTCCTTAGAAGGAAAAAGAACTCGAGGCGAGAGGAGACTTGCCTGGTGATTGGCTGGTTTGATGCGGCAGGACTTGAGAATCCTTTCGATTTGCTCCTCGTTGAAGTTGCTGATCCCGATGCTCTTGGTCCGTCCCGCATCCACTTGAGCCTCCATCGCCTTTCGCGGAGAGAATTGCGTTTCGAAGTGTCTGGATCTTTTGGCGACGTTAGGACAGAGTTATTCTCGGGTATTCATACCTTCCAAAGCGCGACGAGATCTGTCTCAGGATCGATGTCCAATGTCCCGTCGGGTGTCCTGGGGACGACGTCGTCGTTTCCTTGGTCCTTCATTCCGCATGGGTTGTGGATGAGGTAGAGGTCTACGTAGGTAGTCTTCAGGTTCTCGAGACTTTTCTTCAGGTAATGCTCCACGCGATCCGGGCGATTTCCTATGGGTGCCAGCTGGAGGACGCACGAGACATCGGGATAGGTTTTACGAGAGCTACTTCGTTCCCTGACAAGTTAGACTTACGGATCTCACGACAACAGAACAAGGCTTGGGAGTAGCGATGCATTCCGAGTTCACGTATGCTTTAACATGATGGTAACCATACTTCAGTTCAACAAATCATTCCGCTGTAAGCAGTGGCTGAGATCAGCGGTATAAAACGCGCAGAGAAAGAAATTGAATACCTCTCTCATCTGCCTGAATTTATGTTTTCGCATGCGGATACTTAATGGCATCGAAAGGCAAATATAGGACTGATGCAGATATCCATGACAGGGACTTCTTAATTCCCAGGTATCCCGTAAACTCTAAAACATAATGGTTTGGTCTAGAATCTTTAGATCGTTGTTTGCTTTCAAATTCATCTCCAGTATTCGGGCAAACACTTAAGTTATTTTCAGCTCATTTCCAAAACCATTTGATATTTCAACTCATAAGGGCCACTTGGTAGCTCGTGAACTAATGTAATAAGGAAGGGGCCCGATACAAGTCAAATTTTTGAGCCACCTATAACCATTTTCTAATATTTTTGTCTAACAGCTACTCCAAATTCTGATCGTGAGAATTCCTATATCCCATTCCCATGTATTATATTTCTCATGAAAACCCCGAGATGGGAATGGCAGATAATGAATAATTCGCTCGACAGAGACGAGGGATGACATGGAGTATGCGTGCCTCTCCACGTCCTATCCCGAACCTTCAACCTTGAGCTTAGGACATGAGGGAGGACGGGAGTTGGTTCCAGCTATCTGCTTTTCTTCAGCATCCTGACAACTGTTAGGTTTGAAGGGGGAGGGTAGGAGGGGGAGATTCGTGCGGTGTTGACTCATGCGAGAGTGAGGGGAGCTTCACTCTCGTTATTATCTGCCATTCCCCTAGGCACTAGAGGGAAATGGCAGATATTGCGATCGGTCTGTTACTTTTTTCATTTTTTTTTCATTCTGTCTGTCCGCAGTATCCATAGCTACCGGACAACACCACCCGCTGCGCACGCGCAGCTTTCTGCCTGGGTCGGGGTGCCCGTCTTCCACTAAAACCTCCACTTCCCTTCCACCCCTCGCGGTTGACGGATCCATAATAGACAAAGGGAGAGAGCGACTGCTCCCGGCCACGTAGACAAGGTTGCCAGGCGTACTCTTGAAATGCCGCATCTGGCATCCTACACATACTCTCCTCTCATCTCCGTGCGACGCGGACGTGCTTTCATCGAGAGCTTGTCTAGTTGTCCGGGCCTTTTTTATTATTATATAAGCCTATGCTATACCAATGACAGTTATTATTTCAAGGTTGGATGGTTAGGATCCAACGAAGAAGATAATTCCAAAGGTATCGGGCCATTGGAATGGCAGATCTGTACCTCGACTGGTACTCTAGTATCATCTTTCCACCAAAAGATTTTATCCGCTTCGAATTGAAACGATCCAATGGGGCTGGCGTTGGAATTCGGAGTCCCTAATCCTGCGTGTCGGCAGAAGGACTAGCCCTAGGAGGCTCTATGCTAGGAGCTCAACCCCAATTCAAGTCCCAGATGAATGGCACATTGAAGCATCTCGATGTCACGTCTCCGGACGAGTCAGAGAGGGGCAGCAGAGGAAAAGAATGCTCAGACCCAGAAAGTGATGGGTAAGTCTTGTGGGAGAGGAGAGAAATCCAACCCCCTTCCCCTTCCTGGATTCCCTTTGAATTCTCACACGCTGCAACGTCTGGATGTCTCGGTAAACAAGACGTCGTATGTTCTTCCCCAATCTTTGTTCATATGTTCACTGCAAAATATCCTTCCATTCAGCTTACTCGATTTCGCACGTGTTCGCCGGCTCCGGACGGCATAAAAAGCTCAAAAACAATTTTGAAAAGGTATGAAGACTCATTTCCGTGTCCTTGAAGCCCTCAATTCTTTTTTTTCCATTATTCTGACAACTGTGGGTTTGTTCTTAGGTTTCTCATTTCCAAAAGGAACATAATTTTTTTTTTACCAACTTTTTAATATTATATTTTATTTAAAAAGTCTGCCTTCTACAAATCTTGCAATATTAATAAAGTTTTAGCATATATATCTTTTGCACTTTTTTTCGCTGTAGTGAAATCGGAAGAGAAAAACAGGTTGAAGAGGAGAATTTAAATTATATGAAATTTTATTAACAATAATTAATTTTTGCTTGCGATTAAAACTGTCAAAGATTAATCGGTCAATTACTCTAAGTATGTTGAGAATCACATAAGTTTATGCTGAGAATATGCTTTATTTATTTCGCAGTGAGTATGGTGCTTAAGATCATGGGGTGATAAATAAAAAATTCCCTATCTGGTTGTATAACTTCTATATACTCTATCATTTGATTTACAAATGTATCTTTCGTAAATGTATTGTGTTGGGACTTGGAAGCGTATCGGCAAAAATAATTGATTATTTTTTTATCTGAGTTTACGAAATGTTTTAATACGGATTCTTTGACTCAGAAGTGAGTAATCTGATGAAACCGAAATGGAAATTCAGAGCACCATCGACTCTTTTGCGAAATTGGGGAAATGAACCAATATAACTTGTGGTGTATTGTGCGCTATTGCAATTGGAGCAGAAGCTCCAGACTATTGGACGATATCGAACAAACGGTTAAAAAAAAAAAGTCAGGTCATGAGGGACGACCCAAGGTTGGGTCCGCCATCAATCGAGAGAAGAGAGGAGCAAAATTTCGAGAAATCCCTTCAGAAAATCAGAGAGTGACTATTCATGCGTCCTCCGAAAACTTGGATTCATCTTTTGGTGGCATTCAGATAGTTTCCATCTGGTTTCACTCCTAAGCTGATGACGATCGAGCTGTTCAAAGTCTTGTTTTCTGAGAATCGCTTATTCTACTCAAATGCCTCTTAGGTTTCTAGGGCGTGGCACATTTTCTCCCCGACCAATTTGATGGCTCTCGAATTTGTAAGGAAGGTAAAAACATACCATATTCAACTCTGCCTATTGGATCAGAGCCTATTTGCTTAAATTATTATTTACATTTTTGAATGAAATCCAGCAAGTAATTTTTCTCATGCATTCTCAAGATCCAATGATACGGAAAGATACGGAAAAAGACATCAGAGAAAAAAAAATCCGTAAAACCAGTCCGAGAACTTTTTGATCTCCTCTCGTATTAAAATTCAATCTGGCCCATTCGCGATGCTCCCGCTATACTCCTACCCCATCTGATGCCGATGATCTGAAGCTCTCAGAACGGAATACCTTCGTGACGATGAAAAGGTCCTCTCGTTCCCCTCCGCCTTTCTGGATCCATTTCGTCATGGCATTCCCGACGGTCTCCTCGTTCCGGTAGATGTACGCCGTGTCGATGTGCCGATAGCCCATGTCCAGGGCTCCCACGATCGCCTCCACCGCCGAGTCATCCTTCGACTGCGATTTCGCATAGGAAGGAAATGGGCTTTGTTTCACCCATCTTTGAAGCGATGAAAATATCCTAGATATTTTTATAAATAGTTTCAGGCTCGAGTTTAACTTTGGAGTTCCTGATACGTTTCGATTTGTACCTCCAGAGTTTATTCTACTTCCTGCTTATGCCCTACCGATTACGCATCAGCCTTCACAGTAATCAAGCCGAGCAGAAAAAATGCAGTTCAGAAATACATTATTCACAGAAGATTGGGAAAAATCCCCTAAACCTTGCTGAAGCACGAGTTCAAGTGATTCAATTTTTCCAATGTATCCCTCAATCAGCCTGAAAGCCACTCGATTTCCCTCCCACGGTGATTTCATCAACCGATGAGATGAGCCAGCTTGGATGATGCCACCCAGCCGCTATCTTCTGCGCTGGAGCCAGAGGCGGGGACTAAGAGGTGTGTCGAAGAAGTGGGATATCACAGAGCTGTCTCCACATGTCTTTGCTTGTACTCGTGGATTTCATAGGAGTCGCAGTGGTCAACGAAAACCCAAGTGCGTATGTCTCTCGGAACCCAAATGAACTCGTACGAAGATAAGGATAAAAATAGGAATAGGTTTTCATAAGAAAGTTATCGAAAAAGGAATCGAATGCAAAAATAGGCCTTCTCGGAAAAATGCGTTCCGTTCTTCTGCTTCCTTTTTCCTCCGCAGAGCTTTCCCATATGCAATTAGAATTCGTACTGGCCCAGGCAGCACACCCACGTTAGGCCAACGCTGAACCTATGTTGGAATTCCACATTTGCGACGAGGGCTCCGCGCTGGAAACCAACGTTGGTCCCACGTTGGCCCGTCAATCTCCGAGTTGGCTCAACATCAAATGCTGATGTGAGGACATTCAGGCGCTTAAAGGCTTAGAGTGTGCTAGAGTGAAAGCGAGCTATATTTATTCATTATTGTTCAGCTCCCCTATTGGAGGCTTCGCCACCAAATCTCTCTCGGTCTGGCTGGGAGCGCTCCAGCGAGTACTACATCCCTCCATGGTCATCTTTGAGGGCTTTTCGCATGGGACTGGAATCCCTTTGTGATCCATCACTCATGGCTCATTTCCCTGAACGTGCTTGTCCGACAAATATTATTGGGCATTCCTCTCTTTTTATCGCATTTTTATCTACAACAACCAAAGGGGAGCCAGACGCGGCCGCCACGATCGAAGAACGACTGACATAATTATCCTCACCCCATCCCGTCAAGCCCCAATTTGAACCTCGCTTCCTCCACGATTGACAGGAGTCTCCTTGGACTGCTTAACCTGTTTAAACGAATGAATAGAGGAATTCCAGTGTCTTTCCTTACGTTGTCTGTGGGAATATATCAAGTACCGCATGAGAAGTAGTAGGGTCTTATAACGAGTCACTCCCTGATAACAATGAAATAGCGGCTACGTAGACGCCATCTCGCATCATTTGTGGGATGTTTTTTGTTTAAAAAAACTGAGATAGATGTCTCGCCAAGAGATAGGACGCGACTTTGGCTGCAGTCCTAGCGCCGATGTGGGGCCTATTTGGGCAGCCCATTGAGATGTGGGTCCACGCTCTCCCACTCGCAGCCGACGTGGTGTGCTGCCTGGGGTTCATAATCGATAAGAGCTCGAGCGTCATTCCTCTGTCTTATGCAGCACTGGTAAGACCCATTTAGATGATTGCATTCGATTTTGGAAGTCTGCTAATGAATGTGAACTGAAGGCGCTCGAGAGGGCACAGAGGCAGGCTACGAGAACGATCATGGAGATAAAAGGACTTCCATCCGAGACGCCATTAGAGTTGAGATTGGAGCAGGCATTTAAGATGGATCATTAAAGGAATTGTTAGGGGGTAGGTTTTTCTCAGTTCAATGGTACTGTAGCAACAGAACGAGAGGGAACCGACTCAATTTGCTTCAACTTCGGGTGAGGCTCAGGTCGCTTCATTTCTTCCCTACTCGACGATTAGTGCACGCGTAGAATGCGTTAAGTGATGATGCGACTGCCAAAATGGCGACTAGCTTTAAGAGGGGGTTTAATGCCTTCATGGAAAAAGCAAAGGAAAAGTAGCGGAGTAGCTAAAAGTGGCTAGGCAGGTGGTAGCTATGCTCCCACAATAACCTCTATCTTTAATAGCGGTACTTCTCTCATGACTCATGAACACTCGGCCTCCACACGGGATGCGATAATCCCCAGAAATCCCTCTCGACGTCCATACCCGAGCCTTCGACCTTCAAATCTGAATTTCTCCGATAACCGTTCAAGAACTCTGCCGCAAAGTAAACACTCAAGTGAAGGCTTGCTGGGAGGGGGAGGGGGGTTTCTTGCTCGTTCAGGACTTGGCCAGTGCTGTCGATTCAGATATGAAAAATATTCATCAGTCAGAATAATGTGCGTGCTGCGAGAAGGAAATAATGAGAATGAAGTGGTGTGTGTATGACAGGGTTTTGGTTATTGACCAAAAAAGTTATCCATTACCGTTACTCATTGCATTCCAAAAAATGTAAATAGTTTCCAATAAATGTTTTCGTCTCCATTGCGAAATAAGTCACAAACTTCAGTAAGCGATTCTTCTCCATACCCTTACTTTCGTGATGCGCACCGTCAAATTTTTGGCTCTTTCCATCACTGAAAGGTGCTAAAATATTAATGTAAAATTATGTAGCTATTAAAAAAAAAGTATGCTATTAACGCAATTAATTTTTAAATTTCACTATCACCCATTCTGAGGAATCACTCAGAGGCAGCGTCTATTACCAGAACGGAATGCTGAGGGACAGCTACTACCGGTAGACCCGGCATGGGGCCACTTGAAGATAAGAACCATCTCGCAATCGCTTCTCTTCTGGGCCATTAAAGCCACCTGCGTTCCGCAAGGGACGAGAGCATGGTCAAAGTGTGACCGAGGAGTCAATCGTTACTAGGCTTAAGGTCTACTGGCAAATTGTCCCTTTTCTATCTAAGACGTCTTTTTCATACAACCAGGGAGCTTGGGTATTACATGCATGCTAAGTCATGTAAAAGAAAGAATACACAGAACTATGAACAAAATAATTGTATCCTTTTGGTTATTTTGCCTCTACCTCCTTGAAGCACGAAGACGAGAATCACGACCACCAACCTCGTGGATTCTATTGCGCACTTAAGGCGCATGCACCCATGCTCGTGGATGTGTTATGTCCGGTTATGTCTCTTCTCTATGACTATTAGTGAATGCCGTCCAGTGGTTTGATTTCGATGGGGCTATCGGGTGCTCAGCTCCTGTTCCTCGATGTCTAGCATGCAATTACTTCACCCTCGGGTTTAAAATGCTCGGCAAGAAACAGATGGTGATTCTGCATATGCCCAAAATCTTATCTTAAAATATCTTATCTTTTAAATATTGCCCTCAAAAAAGACTCAATGGGACGAGCTCCGAGGAGCCCATATTTACGTACGCTTTACAAACATTGAGCCTCAGTGTTTCATTTTCCTCGAAATAAATCGCTGTTTCCTTTTCATTTGAGACACGTGTGACATGTCAGGAACGAGACGCTTCAAGGACATGGATCGTTGATCTCAGGCAAGGTCGCACCATCAAAGCTTCAGAATTGAAGTGCTTCTCGGTATCTACAGTTGCGAAATACTGACCAAATCTGCAGTTACAAAATCTATGGGATGAAATATACATTTTCAGGAGAGGAATCGTATTACCGGATAATCTAGCGATGAGTGAGAAAGAATTATGAGTCGAAAATCCGAATAACAGCATGAAAAAGTTGCATCATATAGAGGAGAACCTCATTCTGATTTCACAATGGGCAACAGGAGAGGAAGCAGAGGTCATTTTCCGTCTTTCATTCTCATGTGGGAGATGAGATTAATTTTAATTAGGTCTGACTTCGGTATAAACGAAGACGAATTTTCTCCCTCATTTCAAACCATCTTACCAAATACAGGTGTTTGAGTCATGTATGACTCAAACACCTGGCATCAAGGAGGAATGTTGGAGGAGCTCTACCTATCCGTCATTTCTTATTATTCACAGTTCCAAACGGCGTAACCACTCGTCCTTGGTCAGTTTCTAATCGCCAACATAAATAAATCAAATTTCTAAGGATAAGCAAATAATTATAGTAATCAAATATACTATTGATTGCAGATATTTGATTCCTACAATAGAAAGGTTCTTCCCGCGAGTCGCAACCATTGTTCTACAGTAAGAGCCTTCAAAAGAAGAATCCTATGAACTCACTTGCCAAGTACCAAGCCCAATGATGGGCATCTTGTGTCCATTATGGAATTCAACGTACGGTTTCCACGGAGCCATTCCGACCTGATGCAACCTCGTCGACGCTTACCCGCCGAATGGCCTTCGTCCCCGTCCTCACCAGGTTCTTTCCTCATTTCGAGGACGCACAAGGCCTCCTCGTCGGGCCGCTTATGTAATCGCACCGTGTGTGCACGGTCGCGCGGCTCCACCCATTACCAGGTCTACTGTGAATGGTCGGAAGATGTTCGACGGGAAACCCGAGCGTTCGAAGGGAATGTCATCAATCATTCGTGGTCTGCATTCGGGGTCACATCGGGCGCTTCTCTTTTAAATTCCGCAAGTTTTTCATATTTCATTCTGCGACTGATCGCTGAACGGTGCAAAATCCTTTAATAGAAAACGACAATTGTATACTCATTCTATCGTCGCATTGTTTCATTGACTTTCCTCGGGTCGCTGCTCTCGAAAAACAAAGTGTCAGTTGATCATGAGGTACAATGCATTTTAAGGGAGGAGGAAGTCGGAAATACGGAGGGAAAATGTATTCGAGCGTGAGAATCATCCAGATCAGACCGAATCCGTCGATACACGATGACGAAATCAGGACCCACATTTTGAAATGGGGCGAAGGAGAATCCAATCTAATTAAAAGGCTAATCCTTTACCCAGCGCCTCTCTTTAAATGGAACGTTGAGGTTCCTGAAGGCTATGAAATCCAAGCCTCTTTTTATGTCTTCCAACTGGGAGAGTCGCTAAATTGATACACGACCGATGGAGAGTCCATTTCTTTGAGGATCGATGAGACTATGGCCTTCAGTCCCTACGACTCTGACTCACAGTTCGATTCGTATCCAAACGACGACACAAAAGCGAATTCTGCTAGTGCGTTCAGCTGTGCGATGATGCCGAGCCGGGCATTCTCTGCTAAAATTATACTATGAAATCTGCTCGTTTTACTAGATGCGGCGAGGTCATGTTCACGATGAATTCCGTCCGATGTCATTTGTTTCGTTTCGTTCCTTCCGGCTTTAGTGCGACAGCATTAAAGGACTCCGTTGGGAAGACTGTATGAATGCTTCCCATTCGAGAAAAATCCAGGGGAAGTTCAAATTCAACAGATTTCCATCGATTCAACTTATCGAGTCCGCATAAGAAGTTATCTGAAGATGAATCCCGAAAGAGAAGGCGTGCTGTTAAATTCACGAAACGCGTGACTGGTACCCTTCAACGCTGTACATTGCGCTCCTAGTTCCTCAAAGCGATGAGACACCGAGACCATCAGCTGAGAGAGCTTTTGTCTCTCCCCTTCTATGGCGGAATCCATTTGCTTCCCGAACCTGCTTTCCAATAACAACTAAATGCAAAGGGTAATCTGAAAAATAAGGGGAATTCACTGGATTTCTGCTTCAATAAGCTATCGCAATGCCCCCCAATTTTCTGCTCTTTACTGCAAATTGTAATGCGTTGCAGTCAGCATATTTGGTAAAAGCTGATGGCTAATGGGTGTGGAACATTCAATGTAATTTATGAATGCCTCCTATTTGCTCCATGATGGTCCGATTCGACTGAGAGGCATGAGAGTATTCAGAAAAACCACCTCACCAATGAATATAGCAACACATACAGTAATAGGAATAGAACTGAAACCACGCATCGGAACCAGTCGCATAGTATAAATGTTCATTTCATAATAAAAGAGTTGATTGGAATACTAGGAGCCAACAGAGGCCGTAAAGGTAATATCGTTGTCTCGGACTTGCAGTTCGGCTGCTAGGCAGTGTTTGTTTTCGTAATGGCAGGGACAGGCTCTGCTCCCTGAAACCCCTATGGTTTGTCATTAACCGTAGAGCATTATGAGGTTTTCGTTTGTGCAATTTCACGGTTACCTCCCCACCAAGAATCGAGCAGACTTCGCAACGAACTCTCTTAAAGGTTGGAGTCAATGTTTTTGGAGTCAAAAGTTTTGGGTCAACTTTTCGTGCTCTTTGGGTATGGTCTTGTTCTTTCCAAACGCTATCAGTATCGGAAGAAAGTTATATAACGTAGCAGGAAACGTGTATCTACACGCATCTACACTGCGCCGAGTGTTGAATTTTATGGTACACGAGTCGGCTGAAACACCAAATTGTTGGATTACGAAAGAGGTTTTGCATAAACCAATGGCTTAGTGCTCCCATGTCAAAGTTCAACTGTAGATCTACCGATTCCCTTTCATTTAGATTATTCTCGTTTCAGGTGTCCTCCTCGTATTTTTTTTTTAACTAGGGCAGAATTACACGACTCCCATATATTTCCATTGCATTCGTTCATTAACGGATGAAGCAAACTTAGGTCCCTTCCCCCCGGGACGATATTTCCTTTATGTATTGTGTTTAGATTGCAACAAACGCTTGTTTCGAAACGATCAAGCATCTTCTCATAAAGAACTGTCGGGTCGGAAGTATCGTACGTGTCATAGGTCCCCGGTGAAAAATCTCAAAATCTAAGTTGGGATGATGTAAAACGCAAGTACAGGTGCTCACCTTTCCGTGGGTTCCATCGTCTCCGACGGTCGAGATTGCGTGCTGGGTGTTCATCCGTCAACAACTTTTAACTAGAGTACCAGCCCAAGTACAGATCTGCCATTCCACTGACCCCTATACCACTGGAATTAACATATTCGCCGCATCCTAACCATCAAACCTTGAAATAAGTAATAGTTGTCATTGGTACGGCATAGGCCTACATGATAAGGAATTGACAAATAGACATGTCTGGATGGTTAGTGCGTCCGCCTCGCGTGGAGATGGGAGGATAGTATTAAATGTAGGATGCCAGATGCGGTACTTCATGCGTACGCCAAGCAACCCTGTCTACACGGCTGCGAGCAGCCGCTTTCTCCAATTGACTAGTATAGACTCGTCATCCGCAAGGTCTGGAAGGGAAGTGGATGTTTTAATGGAAGACGAGCACCCCGACCCAGGCGGAAAGCTGCACATGCGCAGTGGGTCGTGTTGTCCGGTTGCTATGGATACTGCGGACAGACAGAAGCGGAGAAAAAAAATGACAGACCGACCACAATATCTGCCATTTCCCAATAGTATCTATGAGAATGGCAGATAAATACATTCCTGTAGATTCTAGAGCGGGGATGGCGCATTGGGTCATACGACCTGAGGACTGTTGGGTGCCTTTAGATACTCGGGTGATTTTGTGTCCGTTTTGTGTCTCCCTTCTTCATGAAGTTCGCCTGGGTCAACTTCAAGTCGAGGGCTTTAGTTGAGATACTCACACGATAAAAAGACTATGGTTTCAGAAATACGAATTCGTCAACTTTGGCCTCGTCTCTCCTCGCAGCCCGAGAAAGAGCGCCGAGGAAACTTCCAAGCCGAAATACGATCCGAAGCTCTGAATCGCGAAATGGTAGAGAAAGATATTCAACGTAGAGCTGCAATATCCACGGATGAAGCGAGACTCATCTGTCAGGCGCTCTTTACTAGAACCAGGGAAGCGAAACCGGAATTGCAAAATGTCGGCAAGGAACAATCCTGCGAATGCATTATATATTTCGACGAATGCGATGAATTCCAAGAAACCTCGAAACGAAACCGACAAAAGAGTGTCGGAACTTTCCAATACAATTAATCTCATTCCCTCGATGCGAAACTGCAGCAACTCTCCACGGACGAGCGTTTACCCCAAGATCGTTTTGATCCATTCTTTTTGGCTGGCAGTCTTTTCACTCCCGTTCAATTCCTCGTATCCGTCCATTTCGGCCTTGCATTTCGACAACCACGCCCACAAGTGCTTATACTTGCACAAATCCAACAACTCCATCATCTGCAAGAGATAAACCATTATTTTTTTTAGCTTTCGTTCCCGACGGGACAAACCGCACGATCTCCGGTTACACGATCCCAACCTCGACAGCAGAAACGGGAGCAACGAGAGCGAAGTCGGCGATGGTCAGGCCATTCCCGGCCGCATAACCGCCGGATCTTTCGATGTAGATGTCCAGAATTCTCAGGGCGTCTTCGAGCTTGCCCATCACCTCGTCGTTCAGGGACTTCTTTCCATCTTTAAGAACCGGAAACTGCAAAAGAAAAAATTGAACTTCACCGAGTACTCTCGATTGCGAAACCCGAACCAAAACCTGACCCTCTCAGGCATATTTAATGCAATCACGAGTTTATTTCTATTCGTCGCATCGCGTCGACGGAACGAACCAGGAGCGCGAAGAGGAGCCTGGCGCTCAAGGTTCCAGAGTCGAAGTCCAACCTCTGATCCACGATCGCCCTTTTCTTCAGGTCCTTGGGGTAAAGGCTATCGTCCTTCCCGAATTTGCTCGCCAGGTAGCGTAGGATTGCACGGCTGAAACGAGATCATAAATTATTTCGTTCGAATGTTGCCTGAAGTCTTAAGGTAAAATCTTGTTGATACCTTTCGGCTAAGATGAATCCGTCGTCGTCCAAGGCCGGAACTGTGTGTTGTGGGTTCATCTTCACAAAAACGGTAAAACGAAAATATGAAAAAAAGAGAAATTTTAGATATCCTCTAGTGGAAGCGAAGTTCAAAAATAGAAATGAAAAAAAAACATACCTGCTGGTACTCTGGAGTGAGCGTTTCGTCTTTGTCGGTGTCGATCTCCTTGAGAGTGAGTTCCAGGCTCAAGGCCCTGGCCAGGAGCCTCACGCTGGTTGAGAAGGGACTCAGCTCCTCGTAGTACAGGACGATGCCCATCTCGCTGTGCCTGGTAGATTCTATCGACACTTCGGGAATTCCATCTTATTTTTTTCATCACGTTTCGAAATTTTGGATCGGAAAGCGGATCGTGGACATGGGAGCTCGCATTCTTCGGGAATGCGTGACTCGCGTCACCTGCTCCCCGTCGTCCGAGCAAAAGGTCTATGTCGTTCCGACATAGACCTCGGCCTCGCGCTCCATAACTTTTCTCTGAATCCAAAATGAACTAACAAGACGCAGAACCGAATGGTTCCGAATGGGTCGCCTTGAACTAGATCGGATTCATCTGTCGATTCAAACACGGACGATCGATTTCGATCATGGAAGTCTTCATCGATCTTCAAAGAATTTTGGTTTCTCAGGTCCCACGTTATTTGAAATCCGCCTGATGAAATTGGATTCCTGGAATTCCTACTCGTGACCGCGGGATTCGGTCGAGATCTTTGCCAACTCCGGCGGAAGAGATCTCGGTATGAGTGTATTCCATCTTTCAGCGTTCTGTCATCTCATGAAGCAGGAAAGTTTCTCAACTCTGTGTATGATACAGCGCCCCGATTTAGACGCATATTGGCAAATTATATAAGAGTAATGCATATCGACGGATAATTCTGATCTTTCTGCATGTGTCTATACCAGAAGAAAACGAATCAGATACCCTATACCGAGCATGGCGATTGAATAATTTTTATGAGAGAGAGCTAGAGTAACATGCAAAATAATATGCAGAAGAATTTAAATATACTGAAACTCTTCGGCTAAGTCATGAGAAAAAAAAAGATCTCGAGGGCAGATCCTGCTGATTCAAGATTCAGCTTCTTGTCAACGTTTCCTGAAATGTTCGGAAAACTTCAAGAGGGTTGCAAATTAGAAATGATCAGAGACCACATTTTGAGTAACACCTTGCTGGAACGACAATCGATTAACCCAGCGGAAAACAAACGGAGGACAAAAGGAGTCCTTAACGTTTCTCTAGGAATGAGAGAAGTAACATTAAAGGAAAATTTCTCGATTGACGATTTACTCCAGTATTTTTCGAATCCACTCTTTGTTCCTGGGAGCCTGGGACCCGTTAAGTTCCTCATAACCCTCAATTTGAGCCTTGCACACAGCCAGCCATGCCCACACGTGCTTGTGCTTCGAGACGTCCAGCAACTCCATCATCTGCGGAGGGAGACAAAAAAAAACTTGCGTTCGGGGATTGCTCTGATCCGGATTGAGGCTGACCTTAGGCTGATCTCCGGATTAAGGCTGACCTCGATGGCAGAGACGGTTGCGACGATTGCGAAGTCGGCGATCGTTAATCGACTTCCAGCCACATAGCCTCCGGATCTTTCTATGTAAACGTCGAGAATTCCCAGGGCTTCTTCGAGTTTGCTCAACACCGCCTCATTCAGGCACTTCTTTCCGTCTTTCACCGTCAGGAACTGGAATAACATGAAAATCGACTTTCTGTCAAAGATTGAATGAGTTTGAATATCACACTGCAACAGTCTCGGCTTTCAGACAGGTTAAGTTGAACATTCTAAAAAAAAAGTTACAAAATTGAAAATTCTGTCTAACAAATTCTGCACTGGCACCCATTATAATTCAATGCAAGATTTTTAAATTCAGAAAGGAGTCCAAAAACCCTTCTTTACAAAGTGAGATTCGTGTGTTATCCCGCCTCGAAAGCAGGGAGGGAAAGCTTTGGAACGTAAAAATAGAGTGTCCAGAAGCAAATTATTCGCAGTTTCCAGAAATTTCGCAAGGTTGTGTTCATTGCAATGGTGATTATGGCCTTACTCATGGGTTCCCATATTTTGATATTCCAAAACCTACGCTGCTGGAAAAATGCATTTTGCACTGCAATAATTTCGTAACTAAGAGTAAAATTGAAATGTAGCGCACAGTCATTCTACACGAAAATTTGAGAAGCGGGTATCAAAAAACAATCGTAGCACGAGTCTAACTCGTCACATAAACATGATCATGGTTGCACATTGGACAATCTGGAAATTAACATTTGCAGAGTATTTTTTTTCATTGGTAGGAGCAGGTGATAACATTTTTCTGAATAAAAAAAAATTGGAAAAGAACCCTGAACGGAATTCGCATCAAACTGCAAATATGAACCGAAGGTCATGAACCAATTATTCAAATTTTTATTTTGGTTTTCCTTTAGTTTAGTTTTGCCATTGCCCTTTACAGGCAACATTGCAGGATTGCAGTATTCGGAAAAAAAGAAAGGTTGGAGCAAGATTGGCACTTTTTCCGATTCCAAGTCTTGTTTCCCTGCTTTCCGGACAGGATTCCATATGATTTTAATTCCGTGTTCTGATGAATAGTTTTTTTTTACTCCTACTTTTTAAATACATTTTCTGAAGTTTACATTTTAAAAAAGACATGTAACACTTGATTTGAACAGTGACGTCCTATGAAATACTTATATCCTCATGTGCTTCATCTCCCCAAATAGACGTGTGTGCATCCCACAGGATATACGAGTATTTTCAGAATTTTCTAAGCATTCTATAGGCATGCTCTATTTGTGGAACCTAGCGATTCATCGCTTGCATTTAAACCTGCGAGAATCATAAACAATATTTTCAGCCCTTCCTCCCCTTCAATTGTTAACCATTGATGAAACGAACCAAGTAGAGGAATTGGAGTCGAGCACTGAGAGTTCCAGCGTCGAAGTCCAACCTTTCATCCACAATGGCCCTCTCCTTCAGGTCCTTGGGATAAAGGCTATCGTCCTTTCCGAATTTGCTAGCCAAATAGCGGAGGATTGCCCGGCTGGAATGACATAACGTCGCCGTTTTGGTTCCTCCAATTGTCAAATCCTCATTAGTCGTCATTGCTTGCCTTACCAAACGAATCCATCGTCGTCGATGGTTGGAACCGTGTGCTGTGGGTTCATCTTCGTGCAACAAACAGGGATGGAATAAATGAGATGCTTTCATTTCTGGACGCGCTTGCATTTTGCCTCAACGCACTCGGTAAAAAAAAAAGAGACAATTTGAAGCATACTTGGATGAACTCTGGAGCGAGCTGTTCTCTTCTGTCGGTGTCTCGCTCCTTCAAGTTGAGGTGGAGGCCCAGCGTCCTGGCCAGGAGGATGACGCTGGTGCAGAATTCACTCAGGTCGTCGTAGTACAGATCCATTTCCGTCGGTTCTAGGGGCATCGGGAACGATTACTTTTTTTTCCCTTTCTGCTGTACGTTTCCGCTTGTTGGATTTAGAATGGGATCGTGGAAACAGGAGCCGGCATTCTTTGCAAATGCGTGACGCACGTCTATCGCTCCTCGTCGATGCAAGAAACCGTTTCCAGTTCCGAAGTTTTATTTCTGAACCTGCTGCTCCAAATCTTTGGATCTTAATCGATAACGTGAAAAAGAACTCGAACTGAAAGTCGACCCCAGTCGTCATTGTACGCTCGGATCTGTCAACTCAAACGCGAATAAATTGAAGTTGGAATTTTTCATTCATTTCCAGAGAAAATCCTTTAGGCACTCGAGCGATTTGAAACGAGACTGGATTTCTCGAGTTCGAGCCATGCCATCGACTTCGGTCGCAAGTATCACTGCTTTCGGGAAGGTCTCGGATTGTTGCAGTATGCATCTGGAGTCATCCGCTTCCATTTCTTCTCTGACGGAAATTGAGAATCTTTAACGAAGCCGTGAGCTTCGAGCCTCACGAACGTGGATGGAACGCACCAGGTGGAGGAATCGGAGTCGACCGCTCGGTCCCAGCGCTGCAGTTCGACTGTTCCCCCCCCTTCGGGTCCTTGGGACGGAGGCTGTCGTCCCTTTCGGGGTTTCCCGGGTCGGGGAGGATCGGGACGATGGAAAGTCGCCTTGGTTCCTTGTCTAATTTCTCGGCGTGGGAGGCGCTGTGGGAGAGGTGCCTTTCGGTTGGGACGAATCCGCTGTCATCGATGGCTGAAGTCGCGAGCCGTGGGTTCACCTTCAAGTAAAGGGAGAAAATGATAGATGGAATGACAAAACTTGCACACTTCTCCACGAATACCTGGAAATACTGAAGTGCCCTTGAAGATTTTCACATTTTTGGCTCAGGGTGCGCCAGTTGACAAAGAGGCACTGAAACCTGTCAAACAGCAAAAAAGGGGGGGAAAAAATTCAAGGCTATCGAAATTCACATTTTCGTAGACGCGCAACGCATGTTTGCCTCTTCTTATCGACGCACGAAGTCGATGGTCGCGTGCTCCACCAATGTATTTGCACTTCGAACGTCTCGGAATCTTCACATTTTTCCAAGTAACTTAAACCTCACAGAATCACGAGTCAAAACTAGTCATTTTTGGCGTCCACAAAATACGCTCGTGGAAGTTTACGAAATTCCTGCAAGTGAATCACACGACCATCGATAAAAGACTCGACGATCGACAGTCTCCAATCCTCGCCATGGAGTAAAACTACGAAAGACGCTGGAACCGAAGCCGCGTCCATCTTCGTCGTTCATGGCCGAACAGAATCATCTACTCGAGATGGTTCTGTCAAAAACAAGCCCGATAAGATTCGTGGACGAAGTGTCGTTATCGCAGTAACCACTCGACAACCAGGCCGTAACTTTACATTACGCTATCTGCTACGCCATCGAGGAATGACACAACGAAAGCAACTTCGTATTTTTCTACCTAGCTCATACTGGAAAGCGAAACGATTAATAAATATGCACGTATTTTGATGCACGAGAATGAATCCCCTTCGTGAAAGTGGATTCCTTCGTGCTCGATCTCGATGAGCTCTTAGTGTTACGCTTTCCGTCGAAGGATGTGCGAAAAGTGGCACATTTTATCGTGTCTAACAATGCCCTCCGTCAGCCCCGTAAGAAATCGGCAACGAGAAAATTTGGGCCCTTTGCAACAAGAGGGTATGTGGGGGGCAAATCGAGTCCCAGCAAAAGGGATTCGCACTCGATTGCGACAGATCGACTCGCTCGACATCGAGAAACCTTCCAATCCGAAAAGCGGAGAAAAGTGACAAGGGTGGAAAGATGATTCATCGCAGAGCTGCATTATCGACAGAGAATGCGAGACTGCAGTGTCGACCGCTCTGGAGAAGTCGCGGGCCAACAGGTTCGGAAACCGCCGGTAACCGATCCTTCCTAAACATGCGCATCGGGAAAATGCAAATGCCAATCGGCGAACGGCTCGTGCTCGGAAACCCGAATCGCCAAGTCGTCTTTGGACTCTCTTATGATGAATTTCATTTCTTCAAAGCGACTTTTCGGCAAATTTTCTCTGGCGTCTTCCCGGAGCATTTTTCACCCACTCTTTCAAGCTTTTGGAAGCCGTACTTCCTCACAACCATAACTCCCTCATAACTCCATCATAACTTCCCCATAGCCATGACTTCCTCGTGACCATCCATTTCGGCCTTGCATTTCGAGAACCATGCCCACACGTGCTCGTACTTGGACACGTCCAACAACTCCGTCATGGGAAAATGGAGAGAATTTGCATTTCAGACGGGGTCATGATTCCTATCGTTGAAATCAACGCCCTGACCTCGACGGAAAAGCAACCAGATCGAAGTCGGCAATGGAACCCATCATTTCCAGCGACGTAGCCTCCACATTTTTCAATATAAATATCCAGAATTCTGAGGTCTTTCAATTTTCTCATTAGCGCCTCCTTCTTTCTTGACAATCGGAAACAGCAAGAAATGAGAAATGAGTTTCCTATAATGATGAAAATTGGCTGCGTACGATAAACGACCGCATTCTACGTTAATACGTCATATTTAATGCGAGATGATCGAAAATAAACAATGCGAACTTCAATACAATACTTTCTTGCCCCCACGCAGCATCTAAATATGAAGTAATGTGAAAACAATTTTTCAATCACTTTCCCTTTCTGCAACCCCCCCCCCCCCC